GTATTATTAGCTTTTATTAATGCATTTTTTAATAAGTAGGAATTTAAAATGAAGCTGAACATAAATTATACCATTCAGGTGCATTTATTGAGGAAGATGCATTTGCATTCAAAGGTACCAAATGATAAATTAACACACAACATTTTTAGTTAATCATCTTGTCAGCACACAAAAAAAGATTCAACATATCCATACAAATTCAACTAAATGTAGTAATTAAGAGTACAACTGGCGACTTAAAATAGAAGACTTAGGTTTTTTGTTGATAAAGCAAAAATAGCCTCCTAACATAGCTAAGATGCAACACTAATCTCTTAGATCATCCGTAGTGAATGCTAACATAGATCAGCTTTTTTCCCCTTAAGGATAATCAAGGGTGTGATGGAGTTTGTCTAAACAATCTTTGTATTTTGTTGACCTGGGGAATGCTTTTGAATGTGTACCTAGTTGTGCTCTGCAGAGATTTATCTTGGAAGCTTTGGCCTTTTGGGAAGGGCAATTTCAACCCTGTGCAACTGGACTAAGAGTCTTGATGTACAGTATGTATGCCTGCATGCACGGACAGCATGAATAAAACTTGTGCATACTACCTATATCTTGATAAATCAAAAACATAATTAAAATTCAGCTCTTAGTCCGACTGACTAAAATAACTGCTACAGTTAAAGATTTTTGTTTTAGTTTTTTTGATGAACTCGGAGGAAAACAAAAAAACAATTTGGAGCTCAGAGAAACTGCCTCTTTGCTGTCAAAAATTGCAAATTGCTTATTATTGTGACTCAGTCTTGTCACAAACATCATAATCCCATCAGCACAATAACAATAAACTGCAGTTATAATAATATTCATACACAGTTCAGTCTCTGTGCCACATATCTCCATCACGTCTCAGAATTTTTTAGCCTTTAAAGAAGCAGTTTGATGAGAAAAAAATCTGCCTTTTGGTTTTACAAAAATTGGTACAAACAGTGATAATTGGAAAACAAAAATGACAAGTTAAAGACCAACTAATGTTAAAGAACAAACACTGAACGTTTCAACAAAAAAAAAGGAGCAGCAAGATAAAAGCTGCAACATATTGAGCTTGGCTTGCTTTAGTAGCTTTGTTTTGGTGGCGTTCAGTAAGAGAAGCATTCATTGAGGAGGTAAAATATTCCTGCCCATGAAAGAAAAAGCCTCAAAAAGCCACAGCTCTAAAAGCACTCAACACGAACTGCATTCACGTGATTGCATTACCGTTAATGGAATGCATCGTTGGCTGTTAAGAGCAAAGCGTCAAAATGATACATGAAAAAAAGAGCTATGTGTGGGGGCAACTTGATAAGCGTACTGACAGAATATCCAGACTGAAAGTCAGGTTAAAACTGGTAATCAGACACTTTACCAACTAAATACAGTATTGGTTGTCTCTGACTATATGACTGTGCAGAGTTCAAATCCCATGTGGACTCTTTCTGTTCGCCATTTGACTTGTTTTGTGCTTTAACCACCTGGAATCTAAATTAATTGACAATTTTCCCCCATTTCGTTTATAGACTATGCTTACAACTTTGAGGATGTATTTACTTATTCTTTTATGGCGAAACAAACAACACATAAAACTAAATAATAGAAAACTTCAACATGAATAAGGGTTCACCTCTTTCACAAATGGTTTTGTTGAGCCATTTTTTGGGGCAATTACTGCTGATCAAAGCTATTCTTGCTCCTTCATGTTGGAGCGTTTCTGCTTGTAAACAGAATTTTGCAAAAACAACAATTTTTCCCCCCCGGATATTTCTATATTCTTACAAAATTATACTCATTTCCAATTGTAACTGAAACGGTTATTGGTGCATTAATCCAACATTATTCCCATTCAAATTTGTCTATGTTAATGTGTATACTGTACTCTTTTGATTTATCGGTTGATGCATTTTAACTGGTATGTACTAGGAGAGAGTAGACCTTTCAGAGCTTTTGTAATGTTTGTATGAATGCTGTATTGTGTTTATTGCATTTCTTTTTTTATTCCATTTCTGTCATTTGTGTAAATTTTGTCTCTGTCAAGGACCCCTGAAAATCTCAAGGGGCTATCCTTTCAATAAATGCCAAATTTAAGAAAAATATGTTTAGCAATCAGGAAGTAGTTACGGTTTGGCATTGGCAGGCTATGCATGACTCAGAACAAAAACACTCCAGACTCATAAGACAGCAGAATCATAAGCCTCTGTCCTTCATACTGCAACCATCTACTGAGACCAATATGGGTAAAAAGGGTAAGTTGCATTCTATATAGTATTTGCCAGCGATGAATTAGGGGAATGATTAAGAGTATAAGAAGAGAATATAACCCCCCCTCCAGGAGTTATTTATGTTGCGGTCCCACCATGTGTGAGGGGGTGGCACACTGTAGCAGACCGTTGTGTCATAGTTTTGCCAGCTTCAAAGCATTGCATAAGGGAGGCATAAATAACCACTCCTTAAGACAGATGGTGTTGTAGAACACCTGAGGGTTTGATGGGACATGGTCCAGGATGGATCCTGAAACTGAATTCATCTTGAAAAAAAAAAAAAAAAACTTGTATTAATGAAGTCACATAGAATCTACAGCTTTCAGCACCAAATCCCCCTCTAACAAGGGGTAAACCACCCCTGAATGACTCTGTATGGAAATAAGCTGCCAGCTGGGAGGAGCTGCAATTCTGGAAGCTCTAAATGTACACCGGTAAGAGGCTGAGGATCGGAACAATGAGTGAAATGTATTAAAGCCATACTGCTGCAGTTTAATCAGCTAAATATGTATTTTAATATTACTTGCAGTTCAGCTATATGGATGGATACTATATATTGTCAAATATAGTCACTTATAATTTTCTTTCAGTCTTTGACAATAATTTTAGTTTCTAAAACAGGTTTAAATTTGACCTATCTAATCAAAGTTTCTATGCAGCCATTTTGGACATGAACATCACATCATCTTATGTTGATATTTCACTGACTCAAAAACCACTCTTTTTCCTTTAAGTTTCTTTTTTATGAGAGCGATTTTGGGATGTCTTAAGAAAAGAATGTAAAATATAAATAACATTTACTCCTGTACAGTTATTATATAACTGATATCATTGGAACTTCTGTTTAGAGCAGGGGTCTCTACCTCTGGTCATGGAGATCTACTGCTCTGCAGTTTATAGATACATCCCTGCTCCAGCAAATCTGAATCAAATAAGATACTCTTTACTATGCCTTTGCCAAATGTGACAACATTTCAAGGATAAAATCATTTGATTCAGTTTTGCTGAAGCAGGGATGTACCTTAAAGCTGCAGGGCAGTAGAAAGGACCTAGATTGGCCACCCCTTGGTTTAGAGAACCGTTAATAATACAGAAATAATCTACCTGCTGCAGACAGTCAGGATCAAAATAAAACTGTTATTAGGCTTTGATCACGTCAAGTAAAAAACAAACACTAATGAACATTCAGCAGCACTCACTATGATTAGATAAATGTTCATGTAGGTATGCGTTTAAGTCTTTGAGGATTCACACAGCAGGTGATCTTTAAAGATGCTTTTTTTTTGTTTTTCACATTGTTGTTTATACACCAAAGCGACCCACAGAAGGAGATCACACAGCAGTGCACTGTTTTCAGAAGAAATAATGAATGTGACTGCCATGCAAAGTATTAAATAAATCTTTGTTGAAAAAACAAAACATTGTTGTTGTGGATGTAAGTGTCCTGATAGTGTTGTTAAATGGTTTAGCAATGGGAATGAACAATGTCATGTACAAATCATCAAAAGAAAAAGGAAGGTAAATAAAAAACAGCATGCAACAATCAAAAAGTCAAGCTATAAAAAAAGATTTAAACAGAAATATTCTATCCAAATCTAAAATAATAAAACAGAATTTGGTTCTCTTACTTCACTTTCCCCCAAAACTTTACCCAGAGTTCACAAACTCTCTGGGGAAATACAATGTCCCAGTGATGTGCATTATAAAGATAATTCAAACAAACAAAAAACAGGTGTGGTCTAATAGTTAGATGCTCAGTGTATGCAAAGTTGTCCTTCCATGTCTGCTTTCATTTCATCAAGGGGCCAAGCCAAATACTCTCCCCGCCCCTCCAAAAACAAAACAAAAAAACAAACGAAAAACATATCTTTGTTTTGAAATAAAACAATACACACAAAGCGTTTCTCCTAATAATGTTTACTTATTCACACAGCTATCATCTGCAGGCAGTACCTATTCACGCATTTATCACGCTGCCAGGTTTGGCAACTTTACGTCGTGCTTCAGTGAACATCGACGGGGAACCTTTTAGAGATAAAAGCTATTGAGCCTAGTTATATGTGAAAAAGTAATTGCCCCAAATGCACCAACTGATTTTCCCACCATCTGTAGCAACCGCTACCATCACTTATAGCTGAGGAGAGGTATTTATGTACAAGTGAGATCTGCAGTAATGTCCTGGGTCAGTTTGTGACTTCCTGCATGAGAGTATTGATGCATTGTTTTGGTAGAAAGGCCCCTCTGGTTCACCACATATCAATGATCTCTCCATTTGTGCATAATGGCTCTCGATGTGGCTCAACAGATTCCCAAATACTCAGGAAAGGATTTGTAACCATTTCAAACATGATGCCAATGAATAGGTTTCCCATTGCTTCTTAAAATTTGTTTAATCAAGGCACGCTTATTTGCTTTTAGGAATATTTGAGCCTAATTTCTGTTAAATCATATTCTATTTAATCATCTTAAAATTGAAGAGTTAAAGGCAATCAGTTGATCTGTCATTTACCTTCTATTTTCGCATACTAGTAAAAACAGCAAAGATTCAGTTGAAACACATTGAAAAGGTTTTTTGGAAAGAGATTTTTGTTAGTATGTCATTAAAATCTGCTTGAAGATCTCAACCGTTTAAATTTCAAAAAAAGCAAAAAAAAAAAGAAATCTGCAATGGGACACATACATTTACACAGCACTACTTGTACCTGCAGGAACACCAGAATATCATACCTCTGCATGCGTTACGGGAACAGAACTGATTCCAGTGTTTACAGCATTCCAGGATCGAGCAGTAAGCACACAAGCAAAGAGGGGGTAAAGATCTCCTGCTCCCAGTCTGCGGCTGTAACGCTCCACTCCAGACATATCGCCTTTGATGAGGGACATCCACAGTCGACAGTAGTCCATCCTGAAATCTGGCTGTAAGACCTACAACAGAGAATTGGCGATTAGCTAGGTTAAGGTATTATTTATGATTTAATTCAACAAAGCAAAGCCAAATGGAAAGAAAAATGCTATCCTTTATGCTTTATGCAAACACACTTCGCCTTGCAAGTTTTTACTTCGCTTATGAAAAGACTTCAGACTGTGAAGTTTGACGTCACCTTTCTCAACCAGGTCAAATTAAAAGTTTGGAATGATTTATAAATTGATTTCAAATAAATGAACTCAGTTTGGTGGTTTGGATCTGCCTTAGGAATAAATATAAAGATGTCAAATAATCTTTATCATCATAAGGAGGATTGGGAAATGTTTTCTGGGTTAATTGTCCTTTTGACTTTCAGATCAACATTAGACCAATGCTGTAAACTTTTCTAATGATTTACTACACTTTGATTAAATCATGTTAAAGTTTAAGTCTTGTCTAAAAGTTGTTTTCTAGAGAAGAATTGTTACCTAAAGTTCTCTTTAGGGATTGATTGCTCCAAACTTAAAAAACTGGGAATAAGTTAAGAGGCGTAAGCGACATCAGGGGCAGCAGCCTGCATTATAAAATGGTCTTTCCACCCCACCTGTAAGTAAAACAGCGCTCACTGTAGCCACTATGGATGGACGGCATAGCAGCGGGCGTTAACAGTGAGTTATAAGTTTTCTTTTCATTTTTTTTGAGTTTCCTTTTAATAGCCTCAGTTTTTTTCTTAATAGTAAATTAGTTGTGTAGTCCATTCCAGAGTGAGCTGATGTTTTAATACTTTCTGCAGCAGAGAAATGGTTCAGAGAAGTTTGAAATATTCTTGTGTACGTGAAGTGATGGACAGGATGTGTATGACTGTATCAGTTCTACAGTCTAGGGAAGTCAGGTTTAAAATTTGAGTACCTCGTATGGGTCAATAACATCTCTTACATAACATATAAACAGATACCTTTCTGGAAAATAACAACTTAGGTTCTGAGTCCAGGTACATCTTAAAGGTATAGTGGAGGATGTTCTTTTTTCTTGGTGGATCATCAAAATAAGTGGTCCTCCTAATTGTCAATCAATCTGGTGATATGTCTAGGTAAGGCTGTCCTATGTGATCATCCCCATTTTCAATTACCAGTGGCGAGTCTGACATAGTGGAAAAATTGCACATCTTCTTTTTGCACGCGTTTTATTGGCGATCCTGGTACAGGGTTATGCATGTGTAAATCCTCCACTATACCTTTAAGTAGCACCAAATGCCACTGCTTTGGGGGCGATATTTAGATTTGATTGCTCTCAGAGGCCAGGATATCAAAAAGGCACAGATCTTATAGGATGAAACATGAAGAAAACCATAAAAATAAAATCATTAATCTGGGCAGCATGTTGAGTATTTATGACTAAAATAGACGTCAGTAAAATAGACAGTAGGAGTGGAACCCATTGGAAACCCTATGGTGAAAATAATAAGTTAGGCGATGGTTACATGAACTCTGATGTATGAGAAGTGATTAAAGAGCTCTCCTTCAACTAGGTTAGTTGGAGCATGTTTGGATTCCAATGATTACTGAAGAGAAGTATTACCCCTACAAAAATGGAGAGATTTGAATAACCAAAACAATCCTTAAAGTTACAAAGGTGGTTCCACTCTATGAAATTATACATATTTAGTTTAATAAGGCTAACACAGCAGTCCTGAAAAAAACCATGAACCAGAGACCTGGAGTGTAAAAACATTTTTGAGATGTCTGATGGCCTGTATGATTTATTACAAGAGGAAGTGTCTTCATTCCAACTAGGGATGCAGAAATAAAGCTTTTAAACTAAAGAGATGAAAGTTTAAAACTTGATTGTTTCTTTTTTGTGGAAAACAAAAATCCCAGTCAGGGACAAAATGTGATTTTGGTTAACAGAGATTTGGACTTTTTAAACAGTTGCACGGTGAACAAATTAGACTCAGATCTAACGAGATGAAACACATAGTTAAGAAGGAATAACAAAAACAGGCTTATTATAATTATAAACAATGAAAAAAAAAAATCTCATCTGAAATGGAGAGAACATTATTGTTACCTCCAATAAAACAACTGTGCTTAAAAAGAAATAATTTAAGTTCACTGAAACCGTGTTTTGTTTTTATAAAACAAGGACAAAATAAAACTGTAAGATCTCCTTTGTGTCTCTCGATCCTAATCCTGGTAAACTGATCAAATATTTCTTTTTCCACAGGGCTCAGTTGCACTCAGCTGTACTTGAAAAAGATTTTGAAAATGATACCTAGGGTTGCGGTTTGATACTTGCATTCACAGGCTGAGGAATAAAATTCACTGACCTTTTTAATCCTAGGAAGAGTATGATATATTAAATAGATACTGGATTTAATGAAACTTTAAACCAAAACTAAATTAGATGATGAGCAAAATGAAACTCATAAACCTCTTCTACAAAATTAGAATTAAAGTCATCAAGGGGGAAAGTGACGTAGAGATGCCTCTACTTTCCACTAAGAGTTTTTTTTACTTCATATGTAGTCTGACATGGGTACATCTACATATTGAGTGGAATATTCCAGTTTACATCCTGTAACTTATGCCCTGTGTAAAAAAGTAATGGTGGAAATAGAGCAATTGTTTGAAAAAAAAAGGTTTGATACAATAATGTTTCTGAGTAGGGCTGAAACAATTAGATTAATCAATTATTGAAATAATCGTAAACTAATTTAGTAATCGATTAATAATAAGGAGTATAGAGAGTGTAAAACATTCCTTTAGCTGTGAGAGCAACCCACTTGGAGTGATAACTACACTAAGATAAAAAATATTTTTCATCTGTCAATATACCCAGAACTCCTCAAGTGGAAAAGATTTAGTTTCACTTGGAATCTTTTGTTATCTGATTATTAATTGAAATAATAACAGGCAGATTAATAGATTTGTAAAATAATCATTAGTTGCAGCCCTAGTTCATAAGGTATTTATGAACAGATGTTTTTTTTTTTAGGGCAGATTGGTGAACTGAGATCACCTAGTTTACACCGCAGTGGTTTCCATTGTTGTCGCAGCAACAAAACAATACCACAAACTGCTGATATTGGTTGTTGTTTGCACCAAGCATGTGTTAATTTCTCAAACCAACAACGTAGGGAGTTTTGTTTTTTTTCTCATCTTCAACCAGTTTGATAAAACCCAGCTAATTTCCAAACCAGGGGAAAAGGAACAACATGCCCTGAGTTCAATACTGGCTAGTTTCCCTGCATCGATGATCATCTTCAAATACATTATAATTTCTAAGCATGTACTCAATATGTTAAAAAAGTAATATTTATTTATGCATAAAACACCTTGTTTATTTTGCAAAATGTAAAGTTGTGTGAAGCTGTTCTGCAATGTAGAGTCATGTTTTGCTGCACACCAGTAAAATCATTGATCAAACTTTACCATAAAGGTAAAGAAAGTCATAACACAGTGTGTCACAGCGTGTGTGTGTTGTACCATTTGTTAAAGTGCAAGGATCATTTTCCAACATATACCACATACACTGCATCTTATGGCGATTGAAGTCTGGCCCCCATGGGGAAAAGTCCGGTTTTGGGGATAGGTTTGGGACTAAAGAGTTAATTGAAGAAGGACCTAATGTATGTGTGTGGGGTGTTGGGATAGGGTTAAAAATCTACATGTACTGAAAACTGACATCTGAAATTACAAATCATTAGGAACAAATTTGGACCCATTATGATCCAAAGCCTGCAAGTAAGTGCATGTGTCTTGTTTCTATAGGTGTGTGTGTTGCTGATTTTGAGTTGGATGATTTAGTTGCATATTTATGACTAAAGTTTTCCATGAATACTGCAATAAGCAGACAGAAAAAGTCATGCCAAACCTGCGTGAGGGAGTGCATGTGTCAACATGAGCGTGTGCCCCTGTGTGATTAAGCTGCCATACATTCAAATGCAGGACACAGCACTCTGTGAAGAACAACATCAAATGAGTTGTTTATCAAAAAGCTTTTATCCTGCTGTACTCTAATATAAGTGTGTCTGTTTTTGAGAGTGTGCGTCATCACTGTGTTTGTGTGTTTGCTGCTCCGCCAATTTAGCCAAAGCCTCCACCGGCAGCATGAAAAATGGGTTGCAATAATACAACAAACGGGGGAGAGTTTGTGTGCGGGCAGCCTGCAGATTTCCTACCTGATACAGGCCGTGATCGAGTAGAACGATCTCCGTCTTCTGGCTCCGGGGACACTTTCGGACCAAAACGTTGCCCGGGTGGGGGTCACAGTGGACGAAGCCATGGACGAAAATCATTTCACTGTACATTTTACCCAAGTTTTCCGAGATCTGTTGGAAAAGTGAAGGATGAATGTGATAAATAAGAAAAGACAAACAAACCTTCACATCTGTCTGAACAAATTAAGCAGGCAACATCTGTAGAAATTCCATTTGGTTCCCCATAAATCATATGGCTCCTCCGACAAGCAGCAATGCAACTTTAAAATACAATCCACCACAAATGCATCAGTTTATTCATCTCGAAGTTACTCTTATGCTCTCAATAGGTTTATGTACTTTGACATTTACAATTTCTACTTAATGCATGGTACATTTTTCATCCTGTTTTGGAATTATCTTATAAAAAGCTCCTAAATTCATCCATCTGTCTATGCACCTATTATTATTTTAATAAATGCATCATCAAACACACTTTTACCCACCCATAGCAGGGTCCTGGAGATGAGCTTGAACACGTAATATGCCCAACATAAGATCAAGAGAAAAAAGGTCTTTGAATAACAAAAAAACGCTTCTTTAATCCTTAAATCCCACAACGGAGAAATTCACTTTCTGCATTTAACCCATCCCCTTGGGGGGCAGTTGAATAGCAATTATGCCGCACGAGGAGAGCAGTGTGGGGTTGAGGGCCTTGCTCAGGCACATAGAATAGAGGCTGTGGGGATCGAACCAGGTACTTCTAACTTTCTCAGAAAACAAGCACACTGCTCTAACAACTAGGCAAACATTCCCCAATATATATAAATAATCTCTAAATAGCTGTTCCAACCCAAGAATAAAACTTTTAAAATTGACAAGGCCACTAAACTCAACCAAGGAAACTTTTATTTGTTTCCTTAGGGCTATATAAAACCTTCTTTATCTTCTGATGGAGCCAGATGAGTAAATAGAACTGCAGCAGCAATTTGTTTGACCCATAGCTGCGGCTTTTACTGTATGGCTGAACATCAGTTATAGTTAGGATATGACTTTATGATTCTTCTTTCATATCAAACTTTTAACCACCACCCGTACAGCCAAAAGGCATACCTCATTGACATTGATGTTGTGTTTCTTCATGTATTCTCTGTCATTGACTTGCCCTCCCTCTAAAAACTCCATGGTCAGAATTCTTTTTGTGGAGAGATCCCAGTAAATCATGGGAACCTGAAGAAAAGCAAGAAAAAGGAAAATGAGAAAAATATGATTAGTACCTCCTAAATCTTAAATCCTTTGTCGAAATTTTAAACAAACAGAAATCTGAGATCTAATCTTACAATTATAAAAAGTAGCTATCTAAAAATGTGCAATAAAATCACAACACATTTGATTCTGATACTGACTTCATGGCAGGCTATATAAATCCTGCCATAAAGATATTCCATGTTTTGCCTTATCAGCTAATTTATTTGTAAATATATGTTCTGGCATTTCATGCTGTAAGAAGTTCCCAAAAATAATTGAATAGAAGAATTTTAGGGCTAGTAAACGGAGAATGGGTGTCAGGCTCCAACCATCATTCATCAATGGGTAATAAATCCACACAGACAGGAAATTGCTTTAATAAAAACCTTTGCCAGTTTTAAATGCTACTCCACACTGTATGGTCACAATCCCATACTGCAGTTTCATTGTAGAAAAGCCAGAATGTCTTTAATATCATCTTATTTTTTCCCAGGGATTACCATAAAATATTCTCATCAACACAACGGAAAGCAATATACCACACACTTGCTGAAAGCATAGTTGATTACAGAGGTACAGCTGTGGGACAGACCTGCTGACAGTTGTTGGAGAATTTAAAGAGATGGCAACAGGGCTGCAATACCATCATTAACCTTAAAACATTTGAAATAAGCAATGAAATAGGACTGGGGCTAATTAATTTGCTCATTAATTAATATGTTGGCTATTTTATTCATTTAACAGATTATTAATCAGACTACAAAATGTGCTTTATTGGAGATTTTTTACAGTATTTGTAATGGCTGAAGATAAAACCTCTTCGCAATGATGGTAACTGCAACAGAGGTTTTTCAGTTTAAATGCAAAATGTATATATGTTTTGTACAGTCTTAGCTAAACTACTTTTTCTAGTTGTCCTTTCAGTATGTTTTAGATTATGTATACTCCAGTTAACCTTATTGAATTATATTTTTTATATAAATAATACATTTTCAATCAGATTCATTATCACAGTCCCAGAATGGAAAAGCATAACCCTCTGAAATCTACGGCTGACTAGCCCCAATAGTGGATAGATCAATAAGCAGGGTTTTCCTTACTTTAATATAAGTTGACTGTTTATGTACTTTAAATACCTGTTTATACTCTAGCAACAGTGATACAAAAGGTGAAATGGTAAAAAGGACCAGTTGAGAGACCTTTGGTTGGATACATCAACACATAGGGATTCATAGTTCAGGTTTTTTTTTTTTTTTTTGAATCACATGAATTAGACTTCACTCTTTCAAGGAGTCATGCTTGGTTAATTGCCCAATTTTCATGTGATCTGCCACAAATGGCATCCTGCCAATCATCAAGAAGACCAACAGTTTTAATCATTTGTCATTGCATTGTTGATGAGTTTTTCTCTGAGCGGATGCACGTGTCCTATGCTTGGTCCATGTTTGTTTTGGTCAGAGTACCCAAAACAGTGGGAAGAATCACCTGAACTACAGCAGGAAGGGGAGACAGGATTCTAAGCTCAGACAGAAGCAGTGGGGAATCAGTGTGAGAACACCAGGAGAGAGAGCAACATAAGTGGGATGAGGCGTCCAATTGTGCTCTCCTCTGGAGCTAAGGAACCAGTGTGGTACATTGGAGGAGCCCGCTGGGCAGACAGGACACAAGAGTGGGAAGATAAGGCAGCTCAAGAGGAAAGCAGAGGAGCACAGCGGTAGATCGGAGAAGCCTGGGAAACAACACCAGGACGGGCAAAGGCTACAGCTGACCAAGGCTAGCTAGGCTAACTGTGGAGGATTGAAGGAACATAGCCGGAGATTGGATAAGTCAGCCAGGAAGACAGTATGCTGAATGCAGGGGAGAGGCTACTGCTGGAAAGGAGTCGGACAGTGGTACTTTGGCAAAGCCTGCCAGGGAGAATGATCAGGGTAAGGCTACAGCTGACCAAGGCTAGAGGCTCTCACACCACAACTCACTCCTGTCTCCTTTGGCCATTAATTCTCCCCTGGTCTCTTTCCTCTCTTTGATGAGCAACATGCTCATAATTATAGGGTTAGGGTCCATCACACGGAAAGTTGTCCACATTAAAGTCTCTATGTTGTCTGAATTAGCATTGGTATCCCCCATTTACGTCTGTAAAGCTAAATAGTCCCATGTTATGTCACCTCCTGTGCCCATTTTAAATACGAAAGTAAAACATTTTCACAAAAATCACCCAATAAACTCAAACAGTTCATATATTAACATTTTAACACAGAGTATACCCAGCATTAAATGTATCAGTAGGAGCAGGACTGAGAAACAGTCAGTTTGTTTGAATAGTTTTTTCTATAATAATTTGAAAACTGCATTGAGATTTTTATATGACATTATATTTAATGTTTAAAGGGTTATTACTCTATCAAAACCAAATCATGCAGTTGAAATCTGAAGATTAAGAATCAGTGACTTGCCAATAAAGACTGTTTAAGCGTTTCAGATCCAAAAACAGAAAAAAACTCAGGCTAGAAGAGTCAGAATAAGTTAATTTGCGTTCATAAAAGCTAATAAAATCACTCTTACTGACATATAAAGGAAAACGACATCAGGAAATGAAACCATAATGACATGAAGTCTATCTCTATCTAGTAATGGAAATATGATTCAGCATTGGTAGAATGTAGAAGAGCTGACAAGTAACACAAAGGAGGATTCTGACCTCTATTAACGGCAGACAGCAACATTACAAACACTCTGATTTTAAATTCAGACAGACAGTGTAGGAATTAAAACAAGCATGCTGAAGAATCACAAGTTCCTCGCTATAAAAAAAAGCTCTGGAGGAGAACAGTACTAAAATGTGAGTACCTTGAGAAAAGGGAAGTGGGACAGCATTTTAGCCACCTTTTCTGCATTGTGTCCCTCGTTAAGGAAGTCCAGCTCCAGTGGCATGTTTTTCTTGGCTTCCTCTACCAACCACATGAAGGCAAAGTCTGGGAAGAGCCAATGGACTGCCTTCAACAACACCTTCAAAATAAAACAGACGCAGATGAGGTCAATATTGTTTTACAGCACATGTTTCAAGTTAGTATTGTAATGAAATACTCACTCCGCACAATGATACTTAACTTATTTATAAAATAAAAAAAAGTTGACCTCAGTTTTGATCTAAAGCTATAGCTTTGATGAATTTATGGCATTTATACTGGAATTCATATCTCTTTATAGTCACAAGACATTTTTTAATAATCCATAGATTTTTAACTGAAGCCAAAAGTTTGACCTTAAGTTAAAGGTTCTGTGGAACATTAAGCGCACATGCAAAACATCCCACCATAATTATGTGGTGAAACTAAAAGATGCTGTCCATTATTATCAGTAAGTTTAGGGCTGCAACAACGAATCGATAAAATCGATAAAAATCGACTTTTAAAAGCGTTGGCAACGAATTTCATCAT